ATTATGACCATCTTGAACATTTGCTCCTCTCCTTCTTCAAGGAGTTTTAGCTTTGGAACCGATTAGTCTATTACGCTTCAAGAGTTCCATAGACTATGTCCATCATGGACTTTATTCTATTTGGAGCATTAGTAGCTGAAATATGACATTTTGTTTGGGTCAGCAAATGCGCATGGAAATATTTTGCAAATGAATTATCACTTGAACTTCAAGTTCATATTTTCTTGTACGAGGATCTAATATACTCATAATAATTCATTCCATGTATTACTTTTTTTCAGCTGCTTATTTTCTCCCCCTAATGTTGGGATCACCAACACATATCGCCAACCTTCATTGAGACCAATCTTTGTGCATTGTGGTGACACAATTAAATCATATAGTACATCCATATTTCTAGATGAAAATATTTGGTTCCTGACCCTGAACCAAGTGTGATGGGGAGAATTTATCATAACTTGTTGGCTAGATGCGTACAAGTGCTGTTGTATATTAAATAATATACTTAATACAAAATTTCTATTTGGAGTTTTGTTCTCATAACCAATGGTTTAGCTTTAATTGAAGGCATACAATTTCTGCTAAACCAACTTGGATTTAAACCAGCATTATCAAGATAAATTATCATAATATATATTCTGGAACTGTGCTCTAATAATTTGAGCGAACAACCTTGCAAAAACCAAAGTGCAAGTTGATAATAAACGCACATGTGATACAATAGATGCATCTATTAAAATCATATAATAGTAAACGATCCACATGGCAGGTGATTGGGCCCATATATATATATCACCTTTTATTCGTTCCAGATTTTAAGGGATTCAATCCCAACCTTGACTGGTATATCATGAGAATAAGCAACACAAGAGAATTCTTGAAGAATCTTCTATTTCTTCAATATATACCAATGTGAATTCTCAATTAATTTTTTGCATCATAATTGAACCGGGATGGCCAACCAGTCGTGCCAGCTAATATTTGTTTCAGTAAATATTTAATTTACTATGGCATGTGATTCCATCACCATGCTTATACATTTGTAGTACAAATAGAAGAAAAATCGGGTAACCTTTCATATTTACCCGGTATGAATATAGTAATATGAAGATATTCAATCTTCCTTTCATTTATAGTCTCAAATGCCAACCACTTTGGCTATTATACTTAAAACTCAAAAGTTTTGTTTGAGACTTACTACAATATCAATGTCATGAACTTTTCATTTATCGGAGTAGTAAAAAATTAGCCCTTTCGGAGCTCTTAATTGATTTTGTACTACAAGACTTTTTTCTCACCATCCATATGGTGAATGTCTCCTTCACGGAGAAAATCATATCATAATAATTGTCATGGTCAAAATCATCATAAGCGAAATCATTTCTTACTTTAGTTTGCCTTTAACAACTTTTTATAAAGCATGACAATATATTTTTGGCGTACCACATGTACGCGACCAATGACATATTCATGTAACCACATTGTAATATTTATTAACTTTATTTCTCTCAAACCTCCCTTAGAGGTGAGTTGTGGTATTTATACAACCATGTATAAGCACATTCTTATGCATAATTTATATCACATGTATATTTTCACATTCACTTTCAAGAATGAGTCTGCATTTGCAATGCTTGTCACAAGTCGCATTCTTTCAAAAATGGACTATATTGTCTGAGCGTGCCTCATATTTACAGACTATATTGATACACAATTCCTTCACCTTTGAAGGATTATTCTGAGAACCCTTATTGTTCTCTTTTTTACATTTACCATAATGATGACTATATTATTTTGGTCTTTGGCACGCCCACGTTCATTAGTCAACCACTTGTCTTTATTTAGACTTATTATGCATCGCTATCACATTCACTTCAAGAATGAAGCAAATCAAGTGGGACAAACTTCATGCATTTTCATGAAAAATATATTATTTTTCTTTAGTCATCATTATATCATCAATATGGTGCACTGGGACTCAAACCCAATGCCTTACCTGTGTAAAGGTATGATAGGCCATAATGCGTTGGGACTCAAACCCAATTCTTATTATCATGTTGCATTAGGACTCAAACCCGATGTCTTACTTTCGTGGTGCGTTGGGACTTGAACCCACCGTCTTATCCTTAATTAATGGCATAATATGCCAAAGTAGACTCACCCTTGAGACTTTCATGGTATACTACTTTTAATAGTAATAAAAGTAAACTCATATATGTGTTACACAATAAGTATCTATTTACTGGTAACAAAGGAATCAAAGTTCTTCAAATCACTTTGCAAAAGCTGGTAACAAAGGAATCAAAGTTCTTCAAATCACTTTGCAAAAGCTGGCGTAGCTCCTTAATTTATGTACATCTTTTGTCTCTGGTTTAGTATGTAACATTTAGCTGCATCATTATATGCTTCTGATTCTCATATAACATCTAACCTGAACATTAGGTGAAAGAGATTAGACTAAACTTACAATAAATATTAGAAAGAAAAACATGGAGCAGTAATTAATTTACATCTAAGTATTTTCAACTTTACAAAGTAATACTTAGTATTTGAAACTTTCCCGACAAATAAAGAACCTTTGAGAAAAACTAACAAGAAAATGAATTAATTAAAAAAAAATTAGAAAACGTATCTTAGCATTATATGCCTTTTCACGATGTACTAGTCTCCTCAACCTTGTTATTCCTTTTATTATATTTCATACCATTATTTGAAATTTCTAAATGGAAAAGAAAAAATCATCTCTTCCAGAGGAATATCAGGCACAACAGACATATGCTTTTTCTGATGTAAGACAATTTTGTAGATGTAGTAACTCAATTGGATAGAGACTCGTGCTAATAACGCGTTACGAAACTTAGCTCAAAGTAATAATATAAAACAAAAAGATAGATAACAATGTAGAGAGAAAGAGAGGAGATATTCTTATTTCTTTCAAGTATTCAAGTATGTTACAAAATGACTTCTCATCCCCTATTTATAGTACTACATAGAGGTATACCAAAAGAATTCCATAAATATGTCATTAAGCTTTTGAGATCATGTAGGAAGATCATGGGCGAGATCATGGAGGTATGGGAGTTACAACCATATGTATTGGAGTAGTGGGAGTTATGGAGATAATGGATAAGAGTAATGGGTGTTATAGGAGTTATGGACATCCACCACAATCTAATGTTTCATAACAAATAGCTTATAATCACTACCATATGAAATCGCAATAAGAATTAACTCAAATAACACCCCACCTAATCTCTTAAATAAAAAAAAAAATCAACGGATATATAATAGGGAATCTTACAGAAATGTGCCAAATAAGTCATAACTTACCGATCTTTAGCCATTAATCATAGACTTAACAAAACTAGCCAATCACATATAAAAATTAAAAATTCAAATAAATAAGGTTCCTTCTCTCCAAGAATCACAATCAAAGATCTCCTTCCATGTTTTTAAGCGTGATCAGCAACATTAGATGCAAGATGGAAAGGAATTTCATGGATGGGATCGCAAACGAGATGATGAAATACAAAAATATATATATATATATATATATATACAAGGTTTCAAAAATCTAAGCAAAAACGCCCCTTTTCAATGGGTATGTTTGAAATTCATTGAAAGCATATGGATGCGTCAATATACAAAATTTGCGGAAGATTGGAGGTGATTTGGACTGATTTGGTATTAAAATTCGTAATTAAAATCAAGTTTAAAAATTCTTTTGCGACACATATATCAAACATGTATCATGCACACAAGTATAATGGATATACATGTGATACAAATATGATACATATGTGATACACAAATAATACACTGTGTGATACACATAACATTTTTTTTTTTATGTTCATATTCTACTTCAAATTTTTAATTCAAACCACCTTAAAACGGGGCATTTGCATCTATACCCGCTTTTTGTGTCACGTTTTAACTTGTGCCCGCTTTGCAAAAAAAATTACAAGCGTACCCGCTTTTTCGCATAACTTCAGCATACGGGGTTGAAGTAGAAAAGACAATCACGCAAAACTTCAGCATTCTAGTAAACGGGCCTGAAGTTCAGCTCTAGAGCTGAAGTTTTTGTTTTGTAACTGGAGAAGTTTTTATTTTGTAACTGGCGAAGTTTTTCTAATTTGCTCTTGTCTCACACATGAAAATGTGTAAGCATCTGTATTCTCTAATTATTTGTTTCACAGTTCCATCTTACATGAAAGAACTAGCTTCTACTGGATTCATGAACACAGAAGGTGCAAGTCCCAGTCCAATGTTACGATCCAAGTCTGTCAGTGGTCAAATCTTCTAATTCAGTTCACATATCTAGCAGAAAGAAAGCAAAAGAAAAGTAAAACTCATTAAGAAAATCGAAACCCAATAAACAAAACAATAACATAAAATAATACTTATAAAAAAGAATTCGGAACTCAACACTCAAGACTGCACTTAATCATATAAAGCAGGGGGCCAAGTTGTAATAGGAACAGTAGCTATGAGTGTAATGTGTATCTCTTCTTCTTTGACATGAAGCCGACATAACTCTTTACTGTGACAGCTCATGCCAATATTTCTCCCTTTTTCTTTTCCTTCAAATACAGCACACAACCTAAAAAAAAAAAAAGAAAGAAGAAGAGGAAGAAAACGAAGTAGAAGAAGAAAGGGGACTGAAGTTGTTTAAAAAGTGGGTACAAGTTAAAGCTTTTTAAAAAAAATGAGTATAGGTTAAATGGGGTCGACCAAATAGGGCGCCCAGTGCAATTTTTACCCTTAAAACTCTACTAAATCATCCTAAAACTGAGATTCAAACTCCTTAAGTTGTACAATCTATTCTAATAACATCCACTTAACAAAAAGTAAAAAATTAATTATTTTGGCTATAAAAAGTTAATTGGCTAATATTAATAGTAATATTTTATGAACTAGCTAATTTTTTTTAAAAATTACTTATAAGTGGACATATCATATATAATAGGAGTATATGTATACCCACTAAAAAAAAAGTAAAAAGTTGGCTATTTGTGCAAGTAAAGGTAGCAAATGTACGTCGCCCTATTTTGAACGTTCGGTTCTGTTTCTTCCCCACTTCTCTCTGCCGTCCGATCTCAGTGTGTAACGCAGTCAAACACCAAGCTATAGAAGCCATCACAAAGCGCGCCAAATACAAAATAAACCTCCTTTTCCCCTTCCTCTTATTTATCCTCTCTACTGATTAAGAAAGCAAACGAAAAAAAATTAAAAAAAAAAAACACAGAAAATTTCTGATTCAGCTGTAGGGTCATCTGTCAAGTAACTAAGGTTAGCTCATATAATTAATTGTCGTTATTATTATTATTTAATTCCTTAAATATTTACTTATTTTACAGTGGTGCATTTTTATGTTTAGGGTTTTGATAGTAGTGTTTGAAGATGGCGGAAGCACCGGCGAGTCCAGGAGGTGGTGGAAGTCATGAGAGTGGAGGTGAGCGGAGCCCACAATCGAATGTGAGGGAACATGATAGGTAATATTGAAGTATATGATGTCTCATCTTAAAGTTTAAGATGTTAGAGAAATTACATTTTTATGATCATCTCATCTAAAAGAGTAAGATGTTAGAGAAAGTACATTTTAATTTACTTAATTATATTCTGCACAGGTACCTTCCTATAGCAAACATTGGTCGCATCATGAAAAAAGCATTGCCTGCTAATGCTAAGATTGCTAAGGAGGCTAAAGACACTGTTCAGGAATGTGTCTCTGAGTTCATCAGTTTCATCACCAGCGAGTAAGCTTGCTTTTTATCTGATGAAATCTCATATTAGGAAAGTTACTATAAGTTAGAGTTGGATCCATGATTTAAAATGGGTTCAATCTTAAGGTTCTTAGCAACAAACTCATTGTACTTTTGAAATCACGGGGTCTGAATTTAATATTTTGTGAAAATTTTATGTGTGTGCGTATGTGTGTGTGTATATATATGTGCCTCTGCATCCAAGTGGTTCAACGAAGAGAGAAGAACAAAATAATCAGAGTGACAGTAAATCGTCGCCAATACGAGTCAAGAGTTTAAAGAGCTTCATAAACATAAGGATTTTTTGATGAAGTGAGGTGTTTCATTACTGGCATCGTGGAGGTGCAATAAGTACATAAGTAAATATGTTAGCTCCATTACATGATGTTATGCTAGTACCAGGGAGCTAACTGAAAAACCAAAAAATGTGGGGGAAGGCACATAAACCTGTGTCTAAGTTAAGGTTAAGGAACTAACAAAATCTAGAAATCAGCAATATTATTTACATGGGACATACTGGTCCAACCAAAATGACAGAGTAAACATATAGCCTTCAGGGAGTGATTTGGAGTTGATATTCTATTAAAAACATTAGCGATTTCTCTCTGTCTGTAGGCACCTTCATTAACATAAGAATTTATGCGAACTTTGATGTGTTGTTCATTTTACTTTTACAAATGTTTAATTTTGAAGTGGAATTCTTGGAGTTATATATTCTAGAGCACTTTACTTCTCCTTAGAAAGTTTCTTGGAATCTCTTTTAGGCTTAAAATATGGTGGGATTCAAGTATTTTTTGCTATCATATTCTCTGGATATATTTTATGTGCTTATGGATATGAGTTAAGTAATTTGTTAAATATGTTGAAAGTATTAACTTGTTCGAAATGTAGTCATGCTTCTCCATTTATGAGTTCCAAAATTTTGTAAACAATAGCAAGACAAGGTTTGCTAACTATTTTGAGCATTTCAAGAATATTTGCCAAGCAACCTCCTCTTCTGAAAGACTAGGGATGGTGTTTCTATGTACGGTTAAAAAAGATGCAAAGGCACCTGCAACAGTACTTCAACAAAGTTTAGCTATCAACTTTCTGAAGAAGCAAGTAAAAAGCTTTAGCTAATCGCCAAATTGTGAAACAGTCAGCTTCTTGTGGCCAATCCCCTATGTGCTTGGCCTACTCCCTGTCATTGCTTTTCCCTATTTGCCTACACTACTATATCCTTTCTATAAGAACCAAGGGAGCACGTGAAGACCTGGACATAGGAAATTGTGTCATCTGATTTGAGAGAGAGCAGAAAAAATATAAGGGAAGAGGATTTGATGATTTATACTAATGGGTGAGAAACAACTGCCATTTGATGATGCTGTTGAGAGAAACAGAGACAAAGGAGGGGACAAGAGAACAACAAGGGCTCCTGTCCTTCTGTCCTGAGTTCGTGTGTAACGGAGACACCAGGGAGGAGGGGGAAAATAAAAGAAAATGAAAACGAAGGAAGCAGTGGAGAATGCTGGCAGGTCAGCATGTATTAAAAAATAAAACTTGTCAGGTCAGTCTATATTTGGGTATTGTGTGGAGCAATCCTTGGCTATGCTCGATAAAATTCCGAGTGATCTTTTCTTAAGTGGTCTTTTATACTAGAAACCATTGTCAATTATTTTATATTATGTTTTTAACTTTTAGATTCAAATCAGAAAAAACAAAAGCTTGTTTTCATTTTTTTGGTTAGAGAAACATAAAACTAAAGATATTACAGCAGATCCCCTTAATTTTCTTTCTTTATGTTTCTCGAACTAGAATTTTAGGATTCAGCTTCCGGCTGCACAAATTGGTTCCTTTTGTTTTGCTATAAACGATTGAAAGTTGGTGGACATTGCTACTCTCCCCCTTCCAAATTGATTGTGCTCGTTTTTGTTAACGGATGTCCTAGAATGACCGATACCCACATCTTTGTTATGGTATTCCCACTTGCCAGTCTCAAAAAAGTTATTCCCACTTGGAAAAGAATATTTGTCGTGGAATAAGAAAGAACATAGAAGTTGGCCTCCAAACATAATAGAGGCATTATATTTCCAGTTCAACTCCTTCCGTTTGGGCAGCAGGGGTTGCACCTATCCATCACTTGTCCAAGATTTAAAGGGCCAAATAACAATATGTCGAGGTTGAGGACCAACTCGCTAGGTGAGCATCTTCATCTTCCACTTTGCAGAGTGATGGTTCAAATCTAAAGTAGAGTGTCTTTCACTTTTTTCACTTCCTCCTCCCTATGTGCTGTTTAAAAAATCCAATAGATCGTGTCAACTCTATATATGAAATAGAGGCTACCTTGGTTGGCTATTTACTAGGATAACTCACTTACTTCTCAAGACACACATTCTTAAAGGAAGCAAAATAAAGTTTAAAGCTTTATATAAAATGTTTATAACTCAATATAAGATGATCTTTACTTAAGGCTCCTAAGGCCTTTATTTAGGCTCACATCTTAAGTAATTTATTTCAAGAATCAATGTGGGACAAACTCAATAAAAGATAAAAATGACAACTAATCTATCAAGATAAATGATGCTAAATAATCCATCAAAAATAAGGATGACAATTGCTGAATCATCATATGATAAGGTGCAATATCAGCAAGTGATTAGCTTATGTGTCATTCTTCCGGTGTTGGAATATGTCCGTCTTCAAATTTGAGTATCTTTTATGTCTTCCGTAGTAAGGAGACGAATCAACAACATTAAAAATAGTAGATATTTCAACAACAACAAAAACAAACCCAATGTACTATGTACTCCCTCCGTTCCAATTTATGTGAACCTGTTTGACTGGGCACGGAGTTTAAAAAAAAAAAGACTTTTGAAATTTGTGGTCCTAAACAAGTCAAAAAGGGGTCCAGAGTATTTGTGTGGTTATAAAAGCTTCTCGTTAAGGGTAGAATTGGTAGTTTAAGCTAAATTGTTTCCAAATTTAGAAAGGGGTCATTCATTTTGGAACGGATAAAAAAGGAAACAGGTTTACATAAACTAGAACGGAGGGAGTAGTAGATACTTCATAGTCTGCAAGTAGTTCAATCTTATAGGCATTATTGTTGATAGTCTCCAAGATATGAAAAAGGTCATTTGCTTCTGGAGATAACTTCTTACGAGATTTAGGAAAACATTCTTTCCTTAAGTGAATCCATTCTAGATTTCCTTCTTTGAAAGTAACTTGCTTCTGGTGTTTGTTAGCTTGCTTTTCTTTGCGAGCAGTTTGAACCATAGTATCTCAAAACTTCCACGTGAAACTCCTTGATATAAAAGAGAATGCGAACTTCTTCCAATCGCAGAAGAATGAAGCAAAAGCTGATCACTTGCTGATACAACAAGTTATCACTTGTTGGTGGAACAACTTATCATATGATGATGCAATAACTTGTCATATGATGATTCAACAACTTATCATCCTTATCTCTGATTGATTAATTGTCAGCTTATCTTAATAGATTAGTTGTCATTCTAGTCTTTTGGTGGGTTTGTCCAACATTGATTTTAAAGTAAAACTACATAAGATGTGAGCCTATGTAAAGGCCCACGAGCCTTGAGCAAAGATCATTTATAAACCCTTTATATAAAACTGTGTGTGGTTTGCTTCTTTTAAGAGTGTGTTTCCTCTTAAGAAGTCAGTTGTCCCTGGGAATCGAAACTAAGATGCCCTCTTTTCCGGCTATCATGTCATAGTGGGGTTCCTAACCTCGCCAGTATTGGCACCCCCCCCCCCCCACCCACCCACCCGCCCGATGTTCTGGCGTCACCAGCAAACTGAGAATAGCTAATCCCACGAAGTCTTACGGGTGAAATAGAATTGATTCGTGGGAAGCGAGCCCAAGTGAATTTAGGGCAAAAAGGTGATTGATGATCTCACCCTAAAATGAATTTCTAAATTGCTTTTATTAAAATATTTTCTGAAACATATATTGGTTTCTCTATGGATTTTTATGATTTTAATTGAACATTGCATGAATGGGACAAGTACTTGCATGTTAACATTGCAAATAGCATGTTGGCTATGACTATATGACTATTTTGCAATGTGAATATGTATATGATAGGATTAAAATGCTCTGAATATGATTTTGACCAATCATATAACATAAGAATGCTATCGGCTATGTGTATGAGATGATATGTGTAACAAAATTATGACTATGAGAATCTATGATATTTAACAAAAACATTTAATACTGTTTTACCACTTAGGTGGTATATAGAGCGTACATTACAAACCCCAAAAAAAGAAAGATTAATATCCTTATCAATGCGGATGTTTCAAGAATAAGGTATGATATTTGATTCGTTACATGAAACGTCTTAGAGTCAAGATTTACATTTGAACTATATATGTATACATCATTTTGAATGTAGAAAGGTTCTTCTGGAATGAAGCTGTGGCAGAAGCTTGATTAGCCATCATATGTGATTAGTTCACGTGTTAATAGTCTGATGTAAATGGAGCTTATGTTGTTACCATGCACAACTAGTATGGATTTTCTGGTGCTTGTACGGTACAAATGGTTATTGTGTTTGTTAGACTACTTTTGGTAAAGTGTACAGCCACATGTAAAGTACATATGGCTTAAAGAATAGCACTGAGATTGTACGATCCAGGTTGAGGCCAGTTAGCATAGAAGGGCAAACGTGATATGAAAGGGTAATGGTGAGGATGTCTTTAATGCTAACTTTCGATTTGAGGGCAAAGTTAAACAATATCAAATAGTTGAGGGGGAAATTTGGACCTTTTCCCTAGTTCTTAATTCTTATTGATGTGTAACATAGTAAAGGGTGCCCCAAAAAAGTTTGCCAGTTTTTATTCATTGCGCGTGTTATTTTACCGAATTCTTTCTTTGGATCAGAGAATTTTGTGATACTCAACTCTTTCTATGGAGTTTTTGCTCTTTTTAATGCTCGAGATGTGAAAGATTTTGCTCTTTTTAATGCTCAAGATGTGAATTCCAATCCAACTATATTTTCTGAATCTTTGATTGAGGACATGTGTATATGTTAATAGATGATCTAAATCGAAATAATGTTGATATATAATGGTTCTGAGATAGCAACTTTCTTTGAATTAAAAGATCGGTTTTTATTAGTTGACACTTGCAACTTGTAGTGCCTGGTCTGCATGTGATTTTGAACTCTTTTTCTATTCTTTTACAGGGCAAGTGACAAGTGTCAGAAAGAGAAGAGAAAGACAATTAATGGAGATGATTTAGTATGGGCACTGACCACCTTAGGATTTGAGGACTACATTGAGCCACTAAAGGCCTATTTGATTAGGTACAGAGAGGTAACTGCAGTTCCTTCTCTTTTTGCAACGATAAATAAGCTTGAGTGTATGAAGAGTTCTTGATGTTCTTGCACGCGTGTTTACAATTGACAATTAAAGAGAGATGGAATAGTTCTTTTCCCCTCATCTGGAAGATCTGCTGTGCATCCGTGTTCTATATGAGCTTCGTTACTGTAGTTTCAGAGAACCTGTAATTTAATCCCCATGTTATTTTCCAATTATCAACTGATCGATGTCTCTTTTTCTGGTGATTGAATTATTCTTTTTGCTGGGCTGTGGGTTAATCATGGTATTGCAGATGGAGGTATGCATTGCTTCCCCGCATCAATGATATAGAGTTGCTTATTGTCTTTAACTGTGATATGTCACTAGCTATGCCCCGGGGATTGTTTCTAATGTCAGGGAGACACCAAGGGATCTGCTAGGGGTGGAGACGGGCCTGCTAGAATTGATATAGTTGGAGGTCAGCTCGATTCCAGTACACAGGTAAGAGGGCACCAAATCTCAGTTCACTGTGATCTGGTAAGTAATGTAGGTGTTATTATTTTGACTCCTATTTTTCGTGGAAATTGGCAGTTCGTCTATGAAGGGTCTTTTACACACGGCTTAGACTATGGGAACTCCCAAATGTGAACTTTTGAGTAAGTGCTTCTTCGTTCTCCTCCCTCCTGTTGTGGATGTTTAGTAAAATAAGAATGATTTCTAGCACAGTAAGTTCTCATACTAAATCTGGCTTATTCTTTTTCCTTTTTGTGAGAGGGTTTTAAGGTAAGACAAGGATGAAGCACAAAATTTTGGGGGAACTGCAACTGAACTGTAAATTACTATCGGCACTGAATGAAGAATATTACATTTTGTTTTGCTGAACAGAGCTTAATATTCTTCCTTCTACGATGCTGTCCTGAAGAACATGTGCGCATCGATAATCTAATTTAAGTCCTAATTTTTGTTCGTCAATTTGCAGAAGAACGACGGTGCAGATACGAGTATCTTTCGCCTTCTGCTCTTGCTGTTCTATGTGCTAGACCACTCAATGGTTACAGTGTTATTTGTTTGAAAGCACTAGTAACCTAAAGTATGCTGCAAATCTTGAATTAAGCTATACTAACACTATTCTCTTTTGTACTTCTCTTTTAAGTACTTTGATGATCTGTAAATGCAGTTGACTTTTAATGTTAGACTGATAACAATCTTCTTTTTCTGCAATATTCGCCATGTTCTAAGGTTGAATGACCTTAGCTTATTGTTTGATTTTCTTTTTAAGATCCTCGCTTTTGGGAGTGAGCAAAATCATTCTATGTATTTTTCTGGTCAGAAACACTCATCGTTCAATACTTGTGAGGGTACTAACTCGTAATTTCTGGGACACTGAACTGAACTTAACCAATTAGTTACTCATCAAGCTGTATGTAGTGGAAGCAACCAGATACTACGTAGGTGCATTTTCTACTTTGTGAATCTTCATTGATGCAACTCTCAGAGACTCACTGCACCAACACCTGACTCCCGCTGTGCGATACCCAACCACTAGCATTGTCAAAGGATTGTGTTTGACCAAATAGTTTTAAGCCTTTTTTGTTAAATCAATTAAATAAAAAGATTTGGGGCAAATCCTAGCCAGAGATAATTTATTCAAGATCTGAGATAAGGCTGTTGGTGGGCCGGTCTGGGACCGGGACCGGACCGGGCCCGCGGTCCTAACGGGCTAAACGGTCCCGGCGGGCCGGTCCTGGTGGGCCGGTCCCTTAATGGGTAAGAAGCCCGTGACGGGCCGGTCTTGCTCGTGTAGCCCACGAGACCGGGACCGCTAAGCCCGGGACCGGCAGGCGGTCCTGGGCCGGTTCAACCGGGCCTAGCGGTCCTAACGGGCTCCAACGGCTAATTTTTAAAAAAAAAAATTTTTTTTTTTAAAAAAAGACCAACGGTCAGATTTTAAAATCTAGCCGTTGGCCTTTAATTTCAACCGTTTGGAACTTTAAAAAATAGCCATTTGGCCCCCAAACTTTATTTTAACCCCAAACTTTATATAATTACACTTTTTTCCAATTCTCAACTATAAATACCCCCTCATTCTTTTATTTTTACTCACCAATTCATCAATCTCTCTCAATCTCGCTCAATCTATATCTAATTTCTCTTCTATAATTGCTTATTTTATTATTGCAATTTCGTGAAAAATTGTGAAGTTGGTGAATTGAAGTATTCAAGTCTTCAACAATTTTCAATTTTCAAGAAGTTGTTCGGCAATTCGGTAAACTCGTTCCAACTCTTAACTTTTAAGAATATATTTTTGTGTGTTTTAGTTTGCATAATTGTAATTAATATGGCATTTTCTTTGAAAAAAATGTTTGGTGGTAAGGGAAAAGCTAAAATTGGTTAAAGTAGTCTCCAACCTACTACCCTTCCCCCGGCTCCCCGACCCAGACCTATTACCCGTCCTGCTGCTCCTATTATTCTTGATAGTGATAACCCTTGTTTTCAATTTTCCGATAGTGAATTTTGCCATAATGTTGCACCAGGTAAACAATTAAATGAAGAAGTTATGAATGCTCTTTATCCTAATCAAACTATCTTAGAAAATGATGAGGAAAATGAGGATGTAGATGAAACCCAACCGGATTTAGATGATACACCTACTAGTCCTGTTAATAACCCAACTGATGCCCCGCCCGAGCCACCTGTAGAAACCCCTACTTTTAATAGACAACCTTCGAAACGCCTAGAAACATCAATAGTTTGGAATTTTTTTACTCAAGTAAGAGAACAAAATAAGGCTAAGTGTAAAACTTGTGGGAAATTGCTGGCGCATAAATATACTGGAGACCGCAGCGGTACTGGTAGTTTGGCTAGGCACATACAAACACACCCTAGAGATAATGTTAAATATTTACAAATGAAAGCGCAGCAAGAGGGGACAAGTGTTCAAATCTAGTTCAACCAGGAATTAACACTGTGACCGGTGGTATTTTATATTACGATCCTAATAAAGATCGTGAAGAATTAGCAAAGATGGTTACTGTTATGTGCTTACCATATACTTTTCCTTCTAACCCTAATTTTGTGCATTATATTAGAAAAGTTTTTAATCCTACTTATAAAGGTTGGCCTCGCGCAACAGTTAAGAGCGATATTTATAAATATAAACATGAATATGAACAATATTTGCGGTATTTATTTACTCATATAACTAATCGGATTTCTATTACTACTGATATTGGTAGAAGTAATAATGACTGTGATTATCTAACTGTTACAAGTCATTGGATAGACGAGGAGTGGATAATGCAAAAACGCATTATTGCGTATAGAATAATTAATTCACGTCACACAGGTAAGTTTATTGCTAACACTGTTGCAGATATTTGTAGATATTTTTGCATTAGAGATAAAATAATGGCAATTTCTATGGATAATGCTTCTAGTAACACTAGTGCTATAGGCATACTTACAACAACACTAAATCCTGCATTTAGTAATTGTTTCCATGTGAGATGTATTTGTCACATTTACCATTTAATCGTCGGTGATGGTATGAGAATTTTAAATTTAGAAATTGAAAAGGTTAGAATGGCTCTTAATTGGCTTTTTTATTCAAACCGTAGAAGTAGACTTAGAGAGTATTTTAAAAAATGTGATGAATTTGGCCTTAGAGAAAGAAAGGTTCCTAAACCTTGTCCAACTAGATGGAATTATATGTACGAAAGTTTAGTAGTTGCATATGAATATAGAAACCCAATTAATGCAACGTTTAATGCTCGTGTTGGTGGTGAGGATGATGATGAAATCCTTACAAATCAAGATTGGACGAATGTCAAAATTCTTATAGATTTTTTAGAACATTTTCAAATTGCTACAAATGCATTTTCTGGACAATATTATCCTACTATTTCAAATCGTTTAGTTTATATTGCAGCACTATGTGATTTGTTTGTTGAATTTTCGGAGGGTGGGGAAATTTATAAACTTGCTATAAATGCAATGAAAGAAAAGTTTAAAAAATATTTTTTCCCTATCCCCCCTATTTATGGTGTTGCTGCAATGTTAAATCCTACAATGAAATTAGGAGGTCCTCACTTTTGGTACTCAAATATTTATAAGGCTTTAGATCTTTCAGTTGAGGAATTTTCTACACTTGCAGAGGCAAAAGCCTCAATTAAAATAAATGCTCAAACAATTTATAATGTTTACCAACTTGAGTTAGATCATGCTAGGCCAAATGTTCCAACCTCTACTTCGTCTAGTTCACAATCATCTAAAAGAGCTGCGGGCCTAAAAGCACTTAAATCTTGGACGGAGTTTAGGGGTTCTCAAGGTGATAATTTTGATGAGACTTCACATCTAAATGAGCTTCAAGTTTATTTGTCGCAGGGACTTGAAAAGGAGAATCCAGACGGCACCTTTGATCTTTTGGAATGGTGGTAGACAAGGGAAAAACATTTTCCGGTTCTTGCAAGGATGGCTCGGGATATTTTATCTATTCAAGCTTCAACAGTTGCATCAGAGAGCGCTTTCAGTCAAGCAAGACTTCAAATAGGTGATCATAGAGCGTCTATGAGGGAGAGCTTGGAAAAATCAGTACTATTCAGAGATTGGATCCGCTCGGAAAGAAGAAACTTTGGACTTGCAGAATCACAACCGGAGATAGACGAAGCTTATGAAGAAATGATAGCGGAACTTGCGGAGGATGCTGCTTCGCCCGGAAGCGGTGATGAACAAGCTTCTTTTCCGCCACCACCAACGGAACCTCCTCCGAACCTTGAAGGATTTATGAGATTTGTTAGAGATACAATGTAGATTATGGTGTAACTTGTCTTGGCATATCTTCTTTAGTTTTTTTTCCTTTTAATGGTGGTATTAGTACCTTGTTGTGCTCATTCCATTGGGGGGGAAGAAGACTAAGAAAGATATGCCATTTTTGGTAATAAAAATTATAAAACATACCCTGGCCTTGAATATCTCTGCAATATTTTTTTGTCTTTAACTTGCAATTATTTATAAGGTATAATATATATACATAACATACAATATATACTACAACAAATTATATAATGGAATATATATACATAACTACAATATATACTACAAGATATATATAACATAACATACAATTTATACTACAACAATTATAATATGGAATATATATACATAACATACAATATATACTACAAGAAAATATATAAGGGAATATATATACATAACATACATATTATACTACACAAATTATATAATGGATATATATACATAACATACAATATATAGTACACTATACTAGTATACTATACTAGTATACTATATATATTATATTTACATGAAGAAGTAGTACTATATATACTACAAAACAAGATTTTTCAAAATGAGGGCCCCACCCCCAATGACCACCAACGGTCATATTAATTGCACAAATAGCCGTTTTTTTTTAAATTTACAAAACTAACCTTCTCTAACACTATAAGTACCCCCCTCCCTCTTCTTCATTTCAATACTCAATACTCATTTCTCAATCTAAATTTCTCTCAATCTCTCAATCTCCAATTTTCAAGACTTCAAGTCTCAATCTCAATTTTCAAGTTAAATCATGCCTCGTTCGGAAAGAGTGCGCTTATTTGTGTCGCAATACTATGAAGTGCTTGAAGAAAATGAAGAAGGCCAAATATTAAAGTGCAAGAACTGTGGAAGAGTCTTAAATTTTCGTTCAGGGTGTACCACAGGCATTTTAAGGAGGCATATAAAGTATTGTGTTGAGGGTATTTATCCGCAAATTCGTCTTTAAGATTTTTCAACAATTTGTGTTATTTTAAAATTATTAGACGTATTTATGCTTCATGTTGTACTTTGTTATTAATTTATTATGCATGCCAATTTAGTTTTACTATTGATTTGTTATTTTACATTTTCGTCAAACACTTTAATAATTAGATTTCTATATTATATATACCACATATATTTATATAGCCATGCATAAGAGCAATTTATATATATACATACACATACGGTTTACAAGAAATTGCCCTAAATAAAAAAAATTAAAAAAAAAAAGCCCGGAAATAAAAAAAGCCCGTTAGGCCCGCTAAGCCCATGAGCCCGACCCATTTAGCCCAGGACCATATGGGCTTAGGCCCGTCACGGACTGGTCCTACCCGTTGAGCCCACGAAGCCCGGGACCGCGAAGCCTGGGACCGCCAGAGCCCGGGACCGCTAAGCCCGGGCCCGTTTAGCCCGGCCCGTTTAGCCCATTTAGGCCCGGGCCCGGGCCCACATACAACCTTAATCTGAGATAGAAGATAGGATCATAGGAATGAACAAACATAACTGAACATAAAATTTGGTTACAATAACGATTGAATCTCACAATGTAAGAAATAGATAATTGCTCCAATAATATCAAATGATAATGAAGAATACATAAAGGAAAATAATCACCATGCTTTGAACAAGACCATCATTCGTATATGTGATAAAATTGAATTACAGATGGGTACCGAGATTCTAAGCTCTTATCTCCCTTCTCGGCGAGGAGCTTGAAATTAGGGAGCATCTTTACCTTTTTAGGGATGTATATGTTGTTGTATGTGTCCCTCCCCCCTTTTTATGTCACACTTTCTCGTGATATTTATACCAAACACTTTCCTTACCCAGCGGTCCTTAACTGGAGAACCTAAGGGCTTGTTTGCAGCGGGGAATGTTTCTGAGGTTGCCTTCGAAGAGGCTCGAGCTAAAGCGCGTGAGGCCCGACTTGCCTGTGGTTATGACTTCGCGACGCCAGAGGCCGGTGAAGTTGATGAGGCTGAGGACGGGCTTGCCTTTGATGAGGATCATTCTGATGGAGAGGGTGATGGTGGATGTGAAGCTGCTGAACCAAGCGGAGAGAGAGATGACGACGTGGATGGGGATACCGCTGAATGAAGCTCTTGTATTTAATTTTTCCTCCTGTACTTAGTTTTTTTTTCTTGTACTTAGTTGGTTGGGTGGGCCCCTCCTTTTGGTCCTTTGTAAGACGCTATTTTTTTCTTTGAATAAAATAGTTGGTTCGTCCTTGATTGTATGCCTTTGGACTTTCCTTCTTTATTCTTTTCGAATTTCTTGGATTTTCTCATAATAAGTTCCCGACTTTTGGTAGTTAACTCGAGCGAGGTCAGATTTGACCTACTGATTCGGGCGAGGTCAGAATTGGCCTGCTAATTCGAGCAAGGTCGAATTTAATTTGTTAATTCGAGCGAGGTCAAATTTGACCTGCTAATTCGAGCGAGGTCGAATTTTGTCTTGCTAATTCGAGGGAGGTCTAATTTAACTCTTAATGAATTAGGGCAAGGTCGAATGTATGTTAATTCGATCGAGGTCAGATTTGACCTGCTAATTCGAGCGAGGTCGAATTTTGTCCTGCTAATTCGAGCGAGGTCGAATTTGATTCTTAATGAATTCGTGCAAGGTCGAATGTATGTTAAGTCGAGCGAGGTCAGATTTGACCTACTAATTCGAGCGAAGTCGAATTTTGTCTTGCTAATTCGAGTGAGGTCGAATTTAACTCTTAATGAATTCGAGCAAGGTCGAATTTATGTTAATTCGAGCGAGGTCGAATGTAGACTTAGAAAATAATTCAAGTGAGATTGAATGTATATTTCCTTTGCGTTGGCGTGGTTGTGTACATTTTGCGTTGCGTAAGAATGTCATACTGCTTTGTTTATTCATTGGAGAATATTACATGTTTCCGTTCGATCCGTACGTTCATTCGAGGATTCCCAGCCTATCAAGTCCCTTCATCGTTCGGCCTAGAGAAGTAGTCGATAGGCGGGGTGATGAATGTCTTGCTCAAGCTTCGGGACGTCTGAATGAACGGACGAGATCAAATTTTAGCTAGTTGTACTGTCGCATAGTTGCTTCGAGCACGTGGGTGAGTTTCATGCACATGTAATCTATCTGCATGCTGGAGAGATTCGTATGTTTTCCGGGCTGATGAGCCAGTCCAGTCTATACAGGTTTTTCCTTTTACGGCGTTAAGCACCAACTTGTTGGAGAGATTCGTATATTTTCCGGGCTGGTGACCCGGTCCCAGTCTATACAGGTTTTTCCCTTTACGACGTTAAGCACCAACGTGTCGGAGAGGGGTTTTTACTCGACCGTTGCCTGCAGGATGGTATGGTACGGAACGTTTTCCTGGTGCGTTGTTTTGATGGCGTTTGTTCCTTGTTCGCGCATCTGGGAGAATGTTCCTGTTCCTACCCCCATCCAAAAGAAAAATAACAAGTTAAATCGTTTGTTACCTTGACCTGATTGGTTGGTGAGGGGAGATGGGCGCTGTAGAACGACTCGTTTTGCCCCGTACTCGAATGCTGGCTTCAGATTTGATCTCAGCCTCGTGCTTAGTTTTGCTGTTAGTCGAGTCCGGGCATCTTATGGGCCGACAACTTATTTTGCCCGTTGGGATCTCGAGTTCGAGTCCCGGTCCGATCCAGTCCTCGGTGCACCGAAATAAGGGAAACATAAGTTATACTCCGTTTATACAGGCAAGACAAACTTATTATTTCAAAGAATCACACAATAGGTTATCCCCTTCCTAATAGAAAGGGCAGTGTGCATAAAGTACAGATTGGTATCTAACGTAAATATTGCCAACAGGATCGTGGACGTGCTCGGTGTGTAGCGTCCATAATTCTACTTTGACAACCTATACTCACGACGTACCAAACCCGTCACTATAGCAAGACGTGGCTTTCGTATAGATATCAAACATAATTTCGATTTTATGCAAAGATCTGACCTTGGTTGGTTTGGTTATTTCAAAAGCTTGCCTACAAATTTCTCAAGTTGGTGTTTTTAATGAGGGGGCGAGGCTACGATTGCCGGGAAATGGAACCCTGGCTGACTTTAGATCTAGAGGAAACTAAAATTTTGGCTAGAATATTCCCACAGACGGAGCCAAATTATTTGACCAAAAAGTTTTAAGCCCTTTTAGTTAAACCAATTAAATAAAAAGATTTGGGGCAAATCCTAGCCAGAGATAATTTATTCTAGATCTGAGATAGAAGATAGGAATGAACAAACATAACCGAACATAAAATTTGGTTACAACAACGATTAAATCTCACAATGTAAGAAATAGATAATTGCTCAAATAAAATCAAATGATAATGAAGAATACATAAAGGAAAATAATCACCATGCTTTGAACAAGACCATCCTCCGTATATTTGATAAAATTGAATTACAGATGGATACCGAGATTCTAAGCTCTTATCTCCCTTCTCGGCGAGGAGCCTGAAATTAGGGAGCATCTTTACCTTTTTAGGGATGTATCTGTTGTTGTATGTGTCCCTCCCCTCTTTTTATGTCAAACTTTCTCATGATATTTATACCAAACACTTTCCTTACGCACCGGTCCTTAGCCGGAAAATCTAAGTTCTTGGAATATCCCATAGAATATTCCTCTAAAATATCTAAGTGCGGACTGGCCGTTTGAGTGCTCGACCCCGACCGTACTAAATCACTTGCCGGCATATCGCTTCCTATACGCGACTTGACTTGGTTGCTTCTTGGTCGTTCTTCATTAAGTAGAATTCCTTTGCTCAGATTTTGACCCATGATCCATACAGACTGCACAGTCAAAACCAGCTAGAACTAACAGCCCATTGCGGAAAGATGAATTTATTTAGTAGCGCGAATACGGAGAACAGGAACTTAGAGAGCTAAGTTATTGTTTGCAGTTAAAGAAGAATATATTTCACTTCTTAACTTCCAACAAACATCTATTTAGATTAATTTCAACAATATATATACGAACAGGACAGATAATAATTTTGAAAAACTAAGAAGAGAACTAAATTAACAAAGGCACGATCACAATACAATGTTAGATTCATCACATAACTATTTCCTCCGGGCAGAGGAAATCCATGGTTAAAATCAGTTTCCGAAGTCATTTTGAACCTTAAGGCTCAATTAGTGTTGTCTGGAGCTGACAAACTATAGCCATCCAAAAACATGTCTTCAAACCGAGTAAGTTATCAAGACAGGACATACCAACAATGGTGACATCTTGGCAGCAGCTACAAAGGTTTACTAGCAATACTGAAAAATGCATTATGTGCATTCAGCATGTCCGCTTGAGGCTCCTCCAATTGAGACCTCAAACCCTCTATCTCACAGTCCTTAACCTCCTTCCTTGAAATAGCCAAGGAAATTTTATCCTGTATTTCTGCTATTTGTTTGTTGATCTCTTCAATCTTACCATCAATATTTTCTGTGTCGGTATTATGCATCATAATCCGATTACTAATATCTGCAACCTGTGCTTCAAGCTTTTCCTTCTTATCTTTCATCAACAACAACTCCGTTAAACGATCTCGTACAGGCTGCACATCAAATCCATGCTTTTCCAAGTCATTGAGAGTCTCCAAAATTTCATCAAAGGTGCTTCTGGGATCGTCAATGTGCAACCCAGAAGTCTTCTCTGCCAATCTTGAAAAAGTTACCATACAACCTATAGCTAGTCTTTCACGGGAACTCTCTCTCTCTTTTTTCAACGGACTAAAATGTGGCTTCTGAAGAATCCTCTGGAAAATATCCATGGATTCAATTTTTCCCCAAAGTAGTGAAGTCTTTACAAAAGGCAAACTCTGGGTTTCAGTTTGGGTCGTTGGGGTCACGTTGACAGGAGCTTGCATAGACATATCTTGTTTTTCTCTCTTCTCACCACATTGCTTCAGACTATGTGCAGGTGAAACTCCTGGAGGAGAAGATATCATCAAACAACAGCCAGAATAGGAAGCGGCTAATGAAAGGTTAGTATCTTACTCGATCCAGCGATAGGAATTTATGATATACCTGTTGGGGTTGAAATTGGTTTCTTCTGTGGCCTTCCCCCTGTTTTCCTCTGAGTGCTCTCTCCGTCACCTGATTGTTTGGTCTCCTATAGAAAAGGAAAAATCCGAACTACAAAGCGGTTTATACAGCCAGTAAAACCTGAATTAGAAGTCTTCAATTAAAGGTGCTGGATATCAACAGAAACTCACAAGCAGCGAAAAGAATCTCTTATGCTGCTTTTTTTTTTATAAGATAAATAAATTTTTTAACAATGGGCAAGCTCCGTATACCAAAAGAAAAGAAAAGAGAATTTACACATTAATTAAGCTCCAAAGCTGCAATAAATTCTAAGACAAACACTTTCGCAAATGACGGATATTCATTTAACATAATATTACAAGAGATATGTCGCACAAAACTAGCTTTTACTTTGTCGTTCTAGCATGCCACACCTCCCATTTACAAATTATGAATGCATCTAAATTTCAGAAGTGGAAGCTGCTCCTTTTTGCCATCAAAACATCTCATATTTCTCTCCACCCAAATTGTCCATGTGATGCACGATGGTATGATACTCCAAATCTTTTTCTTACACTTCCCAGCATAAATTGATTTCCAGCACCTTAATTTCAAGATATACTCAAAACAGAGAGGTGGCTAAAGGAGCAACAGATCACACCCATTGTCACCATGCATTTTAATTGATCTCACCCCAATCCCCCGGCTCCATATGCAAGAAAAATTGGCAGCGAGAAATAATTTTCAGCTCTTTTTGTCCAAGAAATATTACCAGGTTGGTGATCTCCAGCTAAAGGTACTAATCTTCATTTCAGCACACTCGAGTTTGGGCTGGGATAATCAAAGGGACTCTTTGTTTCAGAAGGCTTCGCACTAAGTTTAGATGCTTTAAGTGATGTCTTTGGAGTTTCAATTCCCTCTTTCGGCAGCACCTGGGCCTGCCAAGTAGGGATGACAAGCGGTGCAGGTGCAGGTTTTGTCTTAACCCGCAAAAATTTCAACCTGCCCAGCCCGCTAAATTTTTCTTTGTAGGCAAATCCACCAAACAGAATCGGATTTAGCACCTGTCGTGCTTAAAAGTGAGATGCACTTTATGCACTGGAGTAGATATTACTAGAGGGCCTATCAAAGAGCACTAGACTTGTATTTTTTACCACACTAATAATGTACGTCAAAGCACCCAAGGGTGTGGCCTAGTGGTCAATGAAGTGGGTGAGAACCAGGAGGTCTCAGGTTCAAATTCCAGCGGATGCAAAAAACACTAGGTGGTACATGCTGCTGGTGGGAGGTGTCAGGCTATTTTTGAAGGATCCGACACGCACCCACTGACATTTTCGGAGAGTCCGAGCAACATAGGTCAAAGATCTGGAATCAGAACGCCAACATAAACCTCACTGCTTAATCTTTGGCTTAAAATTCCGTACCATGTATTCTACTCAGACAATGTACAAAATCACCTCAGCCGAGAGCATTATCGAGTTAGCAATTCATCGCTGGAGTCATATTTTACAATAAGTTATGCAATCACGAAAATCAAAAGCACCAACTTAATAAATAACAAGCTAGAAGGAAAAGACAAAACAAAGTATAAAGCAAATGCTAACACATAATGAGCTTTAGAATAAAACTGGTGCATTGATACTTAGTACTCATACAACTAACAGCAGCAGCATATGGATTATATAATAAAACCACTATCACCGGTCTGAACATTATCTCGGAAATACATGCAAAAAACAATTTCCTTCATATACATAAACTGCTGAGCCCTACATGCGGAGCTAGGATTTCGAGCTTATGGGTTCGAGATTCTAATACTTTTAAGTTACTGGGTTCTAAATTAATATTTATAGATAATTAATGAATTATTAAAAGATAAATACAAGGTCTGAACCAAAGCTGGGTTTGGCCAAACCCATAACCGCCATAGTGGCTCCGCCCCTCTGCCCTAGTGAAACACATGCGCAGTTACGAAATGAAGACAGCACAGGATACGAAATGATAATTACCTGCTTCCGGCCGGGTCGGACCCAGTTCCCTTGAACCCAATCTCTGTGAAATCTCAAGTCAGAAATCCCAAATTCAAGTTCCTCAGGCGGATTTTGAAAGGTAACCTTGTATCTAGAATCTTCCAGAACACCTGTAATGGTAGCAGTCCACCATCCATCCTTATGAGAGGCATCTACGGCGTCGTATAACTCAAACCTCTCAACTTTTTCCACCGGAGGAACCGGACGAACTAAAGACATATCCACATACTCTCACAACGGCGTTGAACTGTTTTCATCAACAAGAATACTTTTGTACTCTACCAAAACTACTTCCTTTCCCGAATTGGGCTTAGAGAAGCCGAGAACAATGGCTTCGAACCACACTCCCTTGAACTGATCTTCGTCCGAGGTCATTTCTACTGTAGAGCCTTTGGTGAGATATTGTACGAGCATAGTATTGTTTTTGTCTGAAAATCAATAGGAGAATCGAAAATGACCCAGCAGACTGCGTAAAGGGATGGCGGTTATGTGTTGTTTGGTAGTTTATTGTATTGTATAGTATTATGTTGCATTATTTTGATATATAATACTCACTCCGTTTCAAATTAAATGAGGTAGTTTGACTCGGCACGGAGTTTAAGTAAAAAAAGAAAACTTTTCAAATTTGTGGTCTTAAAAGCTTAAGGGGTAAAGCTTTGTGGGGCCATAACTTTTGTGTGGTTATAAAAGCTTCTCATTAAGGTAAAATGGGTAAAATGAGGAGTTTAAAGTTGAATTATTTCCAAATTTAGAAATGTGTCATTTATTTTGGAACAGACTAAAAAGGAAAGTACCTCATTTAACATGAAACGGAGGGAGTATCAGAGTCGGAGTCAGAATTTGAAGCTTATGGGTTCGGGTTCTAGTTCTAGTTCTTTTTGGGGAAGTGCACGGTTAGCCACTAATAACACATGTATTTACTTTTAAACCGCTGTTTAAAATGTCTTTAGTCTTTAGCCACTGCTTTAATAAACTTTAACTGCCCGGACGAAAATACCGTTCTGCTCATGTCCTTAACTTTTGAACTTAACTTCAGTACTTCAGGACTATAACTGAACTTGGAACTCTAAGTTCAGGACTTCAGGACTACGTGTCCTTAACTTTTGAACTTGGAACTCTAAGTTCAGGACTTCAGGACTACGTGTCATTAACTTTTGAACTTGGAACTCTAAGTTCAGGACTTCAGGACTACATGTCTTTAACTTTTGAACTTGTAACTGTAAGTTCAGGACCAAGTGTCCTTAACTTTTGAGCTTGTTAGTCTAAATTCAGGACCTATTGTCCTTAACTTTTGGGCTTCTTAGCATATGTTCAGGACCTATTGTCCTTAACTTTTGAGCTTGTTAGTCTAAGTTTAGGACAAAGTGTCCTTAACTTTTGAACTTGTAATTCTAAGTTCAAGACCAAGTGTCCTTAACTTTTGATCTTGTAACTGTAAGTTCATGATCCATAACGTAGCAGAAAACCAAACGTTATTTGTTCCCTATCTTAAAGTCAATTACAATCACACCCTACTTAAAGCAGCATTTGTAAAAGGCAAATTGTTACAATTTGTAATAAAATACATTTAGATTGTACAACAATCACCTAATCAACATTCTCAATTCACTGGACCTAAGCTGCTAGTGGAGCAAAACAAAGATCTTGAATCCAAATATAATGAGAAGACCTCGTATCGTCGTTAAGTTATATTCCAAAATGCACACATTATGATATATGTCGCGATACAGAGGAAGTGAGAGAGTCCAAATTAGCAAGCCATCCGCTATGTTTTCAGCTGTGATCAAAGCCTTAATGTGAGATCTGGTGTCAACTCATCTTTTTCGACGAGGGAGTCCAATCCAACAGATGAGAAAGAGTCTAGTTGCACAGTTCTTCTCTCGAGAAGAGGTACAAGAAAGGGTAATTTTAATAGACTAGTGGTAATGAGAAAGAGTCTAGTTGCACGGTCTTTTCATATTAATTTTAATAGACTAGTGGCTATTATTGCTAAGCATTGAAAATGCGGGATAAAAAGTAAATACCACTTTAAAAAGTGGCTACCCCACACAATTTTTACATTCTTTTTTAAGTTATTGGGTTCTAAATTAATAATTTGTACATAAATGTATTTTTTAAGATAAATATATGGATTGGACGGCTGGGTTCGACCGAACCCATACTCGATGGGCTAGCTCCGTCCCTGTATAATATTTGGATATATTATATTATTTATCTTTATTTTTTGATGTCATGCACTTATAATATTTTGACATATACAATATTTGGATATAAGATTATCACTTAATTATATTAGTATATACATTTATTTAAATTTATATACAAAATAAAAATAGACTTTAGTCTTATTTATTTTATGCTTTATTCTTCTTTATTTCTCTCCCATTTTCCCTTATCTTTTTCTCTCTCGTAGGTGTTGAATTGACTGGAATTCAATTTCGTCACATATAAACTTAGTCTAATTGACTTATTTACTCATTAATTAATGATCTATTGATGATAAATTCTACTCATTATCTAAATGAAGCTGTCATAAATCATGATACTACGAAGCTCAATATAATTATTTCGGAAAGGAATGTTCACTATGACATATGACCTTCGATGTAATTAACATACAAAGTGTGAAAAAAATAAAAGTTTGATGAATTAGATTTTGTCTAGGTGTGTTGATCACGCCCAACTATGCCTTATAAAAAGGATTAAGCGGTCGCTGCAAATATAATCCGGTTTACAAGTCCGGAGTCGAATCCCACAGAGAACTAAGGTTTAGCTACAGCTGTTCACTATCACCAAGAAGACAAGCTTGAACAATTCCTAACTTATAGATATTAAGATTCTTGTGTTTAACTAATTAACTAACAAATTAAAATAGTAAATTAACAACTAACGATACTGAGGGTTAGAGAAAAGATTGAGGAGGTCTAGAGTTATGATTTCCCCAATTGTCGGAATCCTTCCCGCTATGTCTTCTATAATTTCGTCTAAGTATTCTCTACCGATCATGGGCACTCTTATTACCGTAAATCTCTCCCGAGTAATTACGATAATTTACTAGACGCACTCTCCCGAGCTACGCTAGCTGGCTTTTAATACAGCTCACTTCAGATCGCACCCAAGGCTTCGTTATCCCTAATCCCACCTTTAAACCCTCGGTTATTGATCCCTCATATACTCTGGGAGTGGTGTTGTTCAACAATTATCTAAATATGCACTCTCTCCCGAGTTATGCATACTAAATAGGCACAGCTAATTGAGAGCTCTTCAATCAACTAGAATATAAACGTAGTTGAACAAATAGAGAAAAGCTATGGCTCAATTATATAAAAACATAACAAGAATATATCCTACAAAAGGTTCTATCAAAACTCTAGATAACAAATTAGCTATTCATAATAGTATGTAAAACTACAATACTAAAAGTCATAACCAACAATGAAAAATAGGAAGAGGAAGGAAAAACTCGTAGAAGAATTCTCCGCCTTGCTCCCAATGTGTTTTTGCCTCCTTAGGTCGAATCTATGTCTCAAATCTATCCTCCTTTCTTTTCTTGGCCGGCCTCCTACGTTTAATATAGGGTTTAGGGCTTAAAATCCCGTATTTTGCACTTTGGTCCCTGAAATTTACGTGTCCTGCCGCGGTCCTACCGCAGTTACGCCAGGACCGCGGCCAAAATGGTCCTCTGAATCTGCAGCTCTACTCTGCCGCGGTCCTACCGTAACCGTGGTTTTTCACCCTGTTCCGTTTGAAATTTGGAAAAACGTAAAACATGAAAGTTGTAGCCCTTTGAGTTAGCTTTCCAACCATATATTGTGGAGCCCAAATGGAGTTCTGAGCAAAAAGTTATGTCTATTTTACTAGACAGTGCGCAATATGCCTCCTCGAGTCTTCGTTCGTACTTAATTATTAAATTTGACCCCCGAATACGATCCCGGATTAATTTCTTGGGCTTTTACTCAGACTTCAAAGCTCCAAATCACTTGAATTCAATCCATAATATCTATATAGCTCGGAATCACTCCTACAAGGCATAAAACACACTGTTAGTGCAAAACACTAGCGATTAAAGCGCAAACTCAACTAAAGTGCAGTAAATTAGAGTGTAATAATCGACTAATATACGTAATTACAGCCTTTCATCAACACCCCACACTTACACCATTGCTCGTCCCCGAGCAATCAAACTACAATTTTTATTTATTTATAGACACGACCTTTTTAAACAATTCTCCTAACTCATCACACCAAGAGTATGTAAAATAGACTAAGCACAAAAGCGTAACATCTTCACCTTAAGATTTGACTCACAAGTACCATGCATTATTCACAAGTCACCTACTTACTCTAACATAGAGGTCGCTGACATTACCTTTCCTTCATGAATCACGTGCCCTCACAACACAATAGAGTATTTCCACACAATAAAATTTAAGAACACTTAGGAACTCAAGATAGAAAGAATTCACTCACTCTCAGAAATAACATTCATATGCCACAAAAGATGCACCATAAGCTTGACCGTAGTGTACTACTCCACTAATCGAGCTCATTCAATCTTGGATCAATTAGGACTTTATTTGATTGCAATGTAGGCTACGGGACGGGTAGGATACATTTAGATATAAGAGTGACTACACCTCCCTAAGCACTTTAATACATACATTTTAACATTTAAACCCCATACTTATGTCAAACCAAACTCCACCTTCACATCAATTTATATTAACCCATACTTCTTTAAGCACACTTACATCAGGAGCCACCACTTATCAAGGAATTATTATTATTATTATTATTTTCAATTCAAGTGGCTTTTACTTTTTCAAAACAGTACACCTTTCTCCTTATTCAATTAGTTCCACTCAAAAGCCAAACCAACCACCCCACACTTTAACTTTTACAAAGTTCATAACAATTCAAGTGCTCATGAGAGGTGAAAAGGTTCAAATAGATGGTTAATTCCAACAAATGGGTAAGGCTTGTAATGTGGTTGCCAAGGAAACTGGATTACAGGCTCAAAGGGGTTAACTACGATACATAACAATTAGGTGGGTAAAATATGTATATATGGCTCAACAAGAAATGCCTATATCACTTCCAAGACTGAACAAAACTACTATTTCGCTTTGCAAACACACGGGGAAAGTTCTAGGCATCAAATGCAATGCACAGAATAACACAAAACCTTACACACACATGGCACATAACTCACTCAGGATTGGATTCATCAAGACACCCTAGTCAAGGAAGTTAAGCAAATTTAAGATCATACGATTTAAGGTACTTATACAAGAGTCAAAAACTGAGCCTAAGCGTCACAACCAAAGTACTCACTATTCTCAAGACATAACAAAGTCAAGAGATATTGCTTCATTTCAAAACAAAACACAATGGCTCCTATTCCCAAAAAAAAAACTAACTACACCCGGTTCAAATAAAATCCTTGAAAAAGAACCGTGGTTTAAAGAAAAACCAAGGGGTAATTGCTACACTACCTAACAAAACAAAAAATCTTTTTGGTATTTTCTTTAGACTTACTTCCCTCAAGAAAACTGTCTAGAAGATCCGTCATCAGGAAAAGTACAATCTTTTTAAAAAAAAATACAGCTAAAGTAGCATGAAAAACCACCCAGACAATCTCCTCACCCTACATTTAAAATTGTGCATTGTCCCCAATGCACATCCATACATACAAGAAGGTAAAAGAAACTCCCTGGTAGGCCAAAGGCCGAAGTACTAGCAGCTCATGGGGTACTCAGACTTCTCCCAGCTTGGTACTTCGTGCGGGTACCTCACACTTAGTTCCAACCATTTCATTTGTTGGTGCATCCTTCCAATACCTTTGCTTTCCATGCTCCTAGAAAATAAAAAAATTGACACTACAAAAATAATATAATAAAAAAAATATAAAAAAATAAAAGAAAGCAATAAAGCTGGGTTGCCTCCCAACGAGCGCTTGATTTAACGTCGCGGCACGACGTGAATCACTTTCTGCCTCCACTTTGAACTTATGAATCGGACCCCAAGTTTTGATTCTGCTCTATGATCATGCTTCTGGGGTGGTGGAACGAATCTGGCTGGCCCAATAAAATAATATAGTATTCTGCACTTCTTGGCCTTTAGATGAGGTGTGTAATCCTGATTTTCTGGCAAGAAGAATTCCAGAATGTAAGCACTTTGTTCCTCATTCCTCGACTCCTCAAATGGCTCGGACGACTCTATTTCCATATCATCATCTAAACACAATGTGGAAAAATGCTTGGAGTGAGGACCAATGCGCTCAACTACATGAACATTGGGACTGTCTACATTCTCAACACTAATGACAATAGAGTCAACAAAATATGTATCCTCAATATCCTTGGTTGACTCTAGTATCTCTTCTACAACATCGACATCCTCAAAATCTAGTGCGATTAATTGTTGGTGTTCTACTCTAGCCTCCTCCTCTAGCTCATCCTCGTATTTTTTTAAATCCTCCATCATAATGGCAATTTCTATAGCCAATTCATGCTCATATTGGCTACTATCCACAATGTCAACTTGTTGCGTTTTACAAGGTTCAATTAATTTATTCGCTTAAGCCTCCAAGTTGTGAATAGTTGCCCCTTGCCTTTGTACCCGCAGTTGTATCTCATCATATTGTTCCGTAAGGCACTTTAGCATATCCTCGATCTTTTTCAGGTCCTCATACGTGGGTTCCATGTTCCTATTAACTTCACAAGAAAAAGAAGAACCATCAAAGTAAGGGGTTGGGGGAAGATAAGAACTATAAGAACAACCATGAAAGTGACCATCTTGACCACCACACATATCACACACATTCCACACATAAGATTGAGTTGGTGCACAAAACTCGCTCTCAGGAATATTTTGATAATTTTGCCCTGGGTGGTTTCCTTCACAATATGCATAAGGAGGATCAAAAGTAGAATTACCAACAACAAAATTCTCATAATTCCATGATGTCATGTTTCTCAAATAAACAAATAAAACTAAAAATAAAAAATCTCAAATAATAAAATAAAAGTTCAAACTTGAAACCTAGCAATATGTACACCTACAACTACACCGTTAGTTCCCCGGCAACGGCGCCAAAATTTGATCACGCCCAACTATGCCTTATAAAAAGGACTAAGCGGTCGTTGCAAATATAATCCGGTTTACAAGTCCGGAGTCGAATCCCACAGAGAACTAAGGTTTAGCTACAGCTGTTCACTATCACCAAGAAGACAAGCTTGAACAATTCCTAACTTATAGATATTAAGATTCTTGTGTTTAACTAATTAACTAACAAATTAAAATAGTAAATTAACAACTAACGATACTGAGGGTTAGAGAAAAGATTAAGGAGGTCTAGAGTTATGATTTCCCCAATTGTCGGAATCCTTCCCGCTATGTCTTCTATAATTTCGCCTAAGTATTCTCTACCAATCATGGGCACTCTTATTACCGTAAATCTCTCCCGAGTAATTACGACAATTTACTAGACGCACTCTCCCGAGCTACGCTAGCTGGCTTTTAATACAGCTCACTTCAGATCGCACCCAAGGCTTCGTTATCCCTAATCCCACCTTTAAACCCTCGGTTATTGATCCCTCATATACTCTGGGAGTGGTGTTGTTCAACAATTACCTAAATATGCACTCTCTCCCGAGTTATGCATACTAAATAGGCACATCTAATTGAGAGCTCTTCAATCAACCAGAATATAAACGTAGTTGAACAAATAGAGAAAAGCTATGGCTCAATTATATAAAAACATAACAATAATTTATCCTACAAAAGGTTCTATCAAAACTCTAGATAACAAATTAGCTATTCATAATAGTATGTAAAACTATAATACTAAAAGTCATAACCAACAATGAAAAATAGGAAGAGGAAGGAAAAACTCGTAGAAGAATTCTCCGCCTTGCTCCCAATGTGTTTTTGCCTCCTTAGGTCGAATCTATGTCTCAAATCTATCCTCCTTTCTTTTCTTGGCCGGCCTCCTACGTTTAATATAGGGTTTAGGGCTTAAAATCCCGTGTTTTGCACTTTGGTCCTTGAAATTTACGTGTTCTGCCGCGGTCCTACCACGGTTACGCCAGGACCGCGGCCAAAATGGTCCTCTGAATCTGCAGCTCTACTCTGCCGTGGTCCTACCGTAACCGCAGTTTTTCACCCTGTTCCGCTTGAAATTTGGAAAAACGTAAAACATGAAAGTTGTAGATTGAGTTAGCTTTCCAACCATATATTGTGGAGCCCAAATGGAGTTCTGAGAAAAAAGTTATGTCTATTTTACTAGACAGTGCGCAATATGCCTCCTCGAGTCTTCTTTCGTACTTAATTATCAAATTTGACCCCCGAATACGATCCCGGCTTAATTTCTTGGGCTTTTACTCGGACTTCAAAGCTCCAAATCACTTGAATTCATTTCATAACATCTATATAGCTCGGAATCACTCCTACAAGGCATAAAACACACTGTTAGTGCAAAACACTAGCGATTAAAGCGCAAACTCAACTAAAGTGCAGTAAATTAGAGTGTAATAATCGACTAATATACGTAATTATAGCCTATCATCATGTGTGAAAGGTGAAGACATGAGCTTAAACTCCATTGACAACTATTAAAAAACTTCATAGCTTAGAATCGAAAATAGAATTTTGCAAAATTGTTAAGTATATGTTTGAATTGGATGTTGTTGTAAATAATTGGGAATGGAGTTTATATCACAATTTCGGTCCTTTTCTGCTGCTACCAATCATTCCTGTGCTAGAAAGCCATTAAACTGACCCAGTCGAATCCACGGACCAAGACCAAGACAATTGAGCCTATATTTGCAAAGTTTTTAAAGAAGGGACAAAATATAAAGAGTGGCTTGACATACAATGCCATCTGACCAAACAAATTTATGAAATAAATGAACGGAAAAGGGTCAACTGTCCCTAGATTATTGGAGTTGGTACAATAATATCCTTCGTTTACCTATTTTGTAAAATTTACCTCCATAGTTTTCTTTTCGGCTCAAGACTACCCTTATGACTAACAACCCTGATTGGTAAAAAAAAAAACTTTAATTAATTTCCACGTGTCATCATCCCATTGGCCTTAATTAAAACTCAGCCAAATTAAAATAAACCTGCCCGCATCCAAAGACCCGTAAACAAAAATGCGTTTTCCCTTATTCTATCCTTCTTCCTCTCTCTCTTCAGTTTCTTTCTCCTCTTTCTTTTCAAAAATACTCCAACATCCAGAACTCTTTATGGTGAGCCAACGTAGAAGACAAAGGTCGAGGTCCTAGTAGAGACTAAATAGAACTCTGTTATTGTCGAAATTGAATGCGGAGTTGTCAGAAAATATACACCGAAAAATATTGCAAATGCTCAATGACCATTACCATCGACTCTCTGTTAGTGTTCATATATTCGGGTGAAAGTTGTATGCGTAAAGTGTCGATGACTAAAAATTTTGGTTGCTTGAAAATAAAACTTTAAATGGTGATTGTAGTGATTATTCAAATAAAGTGCAAGGTTAGAAGAAAAAAACAGGATGAGAAAGAGAAGAAAATGAACT